TGAAGCAAGTAAAGAAACACCAAAAAACACACAACACCGGAGGCACCCGGCTACCTAGGGTGTTTATCGCCAATTTACCTGAGCGAGAACCCGTGGATGGGCTTCTCGACTTACCACTCAAAGAAGATCTGTGGTGGATGGTGGCGGAGGAGCTCTCGGGCTGTAGACGAGGACGACAGGAGGTCCGGCTATGATACCATTGTCAGGTTTTCACCTCTCCGGCTCAGACCACGCTCATACAGCACACAACCAAGCACCATCGGAAGGGATAATTACACTCAGACCAGCCCAGCCATCTCAACGCACGCCAAGGTCAGAAAAGGGGAAGCACGGAGAGATAACACAAAGGGACCGAAAGGAGAAGAGACTGGGAGTCTCTCTCTCTCTATTCTCTTTAACCTCACACTCTCTCTAACCGAAGACCTCAGCCTCAAGAGAAGACAAAGAGGGCCTAAATACCGAGGATCACATGGAACCCTAATAGAGGGTTCCAGAAGAAGGCTAACGAGAAAACAACATGGGCCGGGACAAGAGGCAAGCGAACAGGTCCACACAAGGAGAGAAGGGATGCCATGGCCTTATGGGCCAATACCTCCACATAAACTTTTGGATATTAGTTTTATATCTAAAACATATGTTGGTGAGTTCGTGAATGGTTTTAGGAGACTAATGTATCTATAAAATGGTTATGTCATGAAATGCTTCCCTTTATGGTTCACAAACTTAACATGTAAGCATGTTCATGTTTTTAGTCCCAACAAATGTAGTATATATTGTTTTACGTCTCTGCAAAATTATTTTCTTTTTTGTATCCATGAAGTTTTGGAGATTTGCAATTTTAGTACTATTATCGTTATTGGTCTTGTAACTTTACTCACTTACCAATTGGTCCTTTAACTTATAAATCTTTGCCATTTAAGAACTTTTCCACCAGAAAGTACACTTTTCGGCTTAAAAATCAGACACTAGCAGCATCTTTTCTGATGCACTTTTGCTGAAAACTGTACTTTTCAAGAAAAAAATCCACAAATCAGAAATATTTATTAGTTACATGACCAAACATACAAGTGACTATAGTTACGGAACGATAATCGCAAATCTTTGCTGAAATTTATGTTCATTTTCTTTTTAGTCCATCATCGGTGATACTAATCTCCATTTGACAATGAAACAACACCAACTAATAGATTTTCCCTAATTGTTTTTCATGTTATTCAAAAAGTGTTTAGTTTATTTTTAAGAAGGTTTCTATACATATTTTAAAATATGAAAAATTATTTTTACATTGTTTTAACTCTCATATTAGCCTCCAAAAAAATATAAAAGGATAAATATAAAAGTTTCTAGTAGATTTATGTAACCGAGAATAATTGTTTCTCTAAATATAATTATTTAGGAGTTAGAGAAGAACTAAAAACAAAATAGTGTATATTACAGGGATGAAAAACAAAAACAAAAATTTACAGGGGCCAAAGCCAAATGAGTCGTATTTGCATGGACTAAAAAAGCATTCAAGTCCCAGTAAGAACAAAGAGTATCTAAAGTGAAAATTAGGGATAGTCGTCGTTCACATTTCTTAAAAATGGTGAAACCCAATAATCGAACTATACTATTTGACTTGGTTTCAGTTAATTTCAGTTAGTTTTTTTGGAATTTTAGTTAATTTTAGCATGTTTTGGTAGGTTTTTGTCAATTTACTCAGTTTTCAAATTAAAAGTCAAAAACCGAATTGAATCACCTATAGTTCGGCCAGTTTTGGTCAGTTTTTGTTTTATTCGGTTCGATTTTAAATATGAAATTCCTCAATATGAAAAAAATTATAAGCTATCAAACAAGATTTTACAATTGAGTAAAGTTACAATACTAAAAGCAGACACAATCAAAATTACGAGAATACGTCTATAATTCTATCTAAATTCAACCCTCATCGATTCAAAGGATAAGAACAGTGGTAAGCACAAAACCACTTTAATACATCGATCATGTTTGGTAACAAATGTTTTTCGATTTAATCCTCTTATTAGTCAACTTTATTTAATACCTAAAGTTTGATTTTGTACACACAACTCTATCATAGTCAAAATACATAAACTCAGAGTAACTCGATATCCTTAAAAAAGTTGTAACTATTTTCATATAATTTATCTTTATTCCAATTCATTAATAACATATAGTGTATGTTTTAGATAGAAATGAAGCACAACATTGCAGATTCAGCCAATTGAGTCGGAATTTCACAACACTGGTTCACCTAATTTTAGTTTTACGATACGGTTTTTAACTAAATAACAACGATTTTTTAACTAAATACCTAAAATTATGACGTAGGCTCCAACACTTAAGTTTTGGTTGACATTGACGCCATTTCTCAAGAGAACACCTTTTGTATTATTATTTGAGGCATCATAATCCTATTTGAAAGATAAGATAAAAAGTGGCTACCAAATACGGAGTAAATGAAAAGGAATACATCAAACCCCGAGAAGGTATTGTTGCCGTTGGGGAGAAAATGCTCAAAACACATGCTAGAAAAGTAGTGGGGTTCATACAATGTCAATTTCAATTCGGACATAAAATAGAAATTTGCACTAAATTCTCGTGCATGCGCCGTACAAGTTTCATGTCATGTGTATCCTTCAACAATTCATATGTCATAGGAATTTACTTTAATGTTCTAAGCTTATGCTACCATGCTTCAATTGGATTGTTGAAGTCAAACCTACCACATTGGAATATTTTTCCCTAAAAGCATCACTTTTTATTAAGCATCAATTAGTAAATACGGTTATGTTACTCCTATCTCGGGAAGAAAAACATAGGAATCCAGTTTTGAAATTCTGAAACTTGTTTATTCCAATTTCAGGAATTTTTCTTATTAATTTTTACAAATACCTTATATAGAAATCAATACTCCGTATAGTTTTTAAATAATCAAGGTAACAATTAATAAATTTATTACAAAAGTCAAAATATGGATTCCGTTGTGGATAAACTTTGTATGGGAGAATAGGTATGTGACATAGTGAGAGGGCCCATGATACTATTTGACATGGTTTCCGTTAATTTCAGTTAGTTAGTTTTTTTTTTAATTTTAGTTAATTTTAGCATGTTTTGGTAGGTTTTTGTCAATTTACACAATTTTCAAATTAAAGGTCAAAAACCGACATGAATCACATACAGTTGGGCCTCGCCAGTTTTGGTCAGTTTTTGTTTTATTCGGTTCGATTTTAAATGGGAAAGTCCTCAATATGAAAAAATATATAAGCTATCAAACAAGATCTTACAATTGAGTAAAGCTATAATACTAAAAGCAGACACAATCCAAAGGTATGGTACGATAATAAATCTATAATTTTCTCTAAATTTAAATTAGAAGTTATTTAACCATCATCGATTCAAAGGATAAGGAGAGTGGTAAGCACAAAACCACTTTAATACATTGATCATGTTTGGTAACAAATGTTTTTCGATTTAATCCTCTTATTAGTCAACTTTATTGAATACTTAAGGTTTGATTTTGTACACACAACTATGTCATAGTCAAAATACATAAACTCGGAGTAACTCGATTTCCTTAAAAAAATTGTAACTATTTTCATATAATTTATCTTTATTTCAATTCATTAATAACATATAGTGTATGTTTTAGATAGAATTTAAGCACAACTCTGCAGATTCAGGCAATTCAGTTAGAATTTCACCACATGTGTTCACCTAATCTTAGTGTTATGATACCATTTTTAACTAAATAACAACGATTTTTTAACTAAATACCTAAAATTATGATGTAGGCTCCACCGCTTAAGTTTTGGTTGACATTGACACCACTTCTCAAGAGAACACCTTTTGTATTATTCTTTGAAAATCATAATCCTATTTGAAAGAAGATAAAAAGTGGCTACCAAATACGGAGTAAATGAAAAGGAATACATCAAACCCCGAGAAGGTATTGTTGCCTTTGGGGAGAAAATGGTCAAAACATATATTTGAAAAGTAGTGGGGTCCATACAATGTAAATTTCAATTCAGGCATAAAATAGAAATCTGGACTAAATTCTCGTGCATGCGCTAGGGGTGGACCGGTTCCGATTCAGGCCCGGTTTGGGCCTCGGTTCATGAAAGGGGAGGCCCGGAACCGGCCCGGGTAACCCCGGGTCCGGTCCGGGCCGGGCCAGGCCGGGCCTCGGTTCTTTTCTTTTCTTTTCTTTTTGGCTTTTCCTAATTAACCCCCAACCCTCCCCCTCACCCCCAAACCACCCCAAACCACCTCAAATGGCCTATCATACCCAGCCCAACCCAAAAACTTAAAAAAAATTCAAAAAGAAAAAAAGAAAAAAAAAATTATTTGGCCCGGACCGGGCCTGAACCGGCCGGGCCGGTTCACATTTTAGGAGGCCCAGGCCCGGACCGCCTACCTCACCGGTCCGGGTGGCCCAAACCGGGCACCAATCGGTTCACCGGGCCGGGCTGGGCCGGTTCTGGGCCGGTTGGCCCAGCCCGAGTCCACTCCTACTGCCATGCGCTGTACAAGTTTCATGTCATATGTATCCTTCAACAATTCATATGTTTGATTTTGTAACAAGTTTGGTAACAAATGTTTTTCGATTTAATCCTCTTATTAGTCAACATTATTAAATACTTAAGGTTTGATTTTGTACACACAACTATGTCATAGTCAAAATACATGAACTCGGAGTAACTCGACTTCCTTAAAAAAATTGTAACTATTTTCATATAATTTATCTTTATTCCAATTCATTTATAACATATAGTGTTTGACTCAGCGGGGTAAGTGATCATATTTCCTGCACTCTGGTAATTTACTGGTTGGGTTCAGTGAAGGCAAATATGAAATTTTCTTGAGGTGCTAAGGTAATTATGTACTTCTGTGAAATTTTGTATGTTTGACGCGTTTTATGGGAATTAGAATGATGGCATGTTTCATGTTCCGTTTTACAGGCTCCTTTGAAGCGTGACTTCAGCCATGAAAGATAGATGCGAAAAGACAGGAAGACCAGTGTGAAAAGCTCAGTGTGAGATGGCCTCTTGATGATTTATTAGTAAGTAAATGTCTTTTTTATATGTTTTCACATGAATCAATCATTCAATTGTTGAAGACACATTAAGTAGGGTGGAAAGAAATTATATCCCACAATAGTACGACTCTCATATCTTACCTTATTACTAATATACATCAAATTACTCTCTTATTCATGAGCTGTCATCGCAGTCCCACGGTGAGCCGAAGATACTTTTTAAGCAAATATAGAACACTGTAGATATATTCACGTCGAATACTCGGCATTTATTTTCACATAGTCATAACTCAAGTCACACCCCCATGCAACTCCGCTTCCCGGACCATCACCTGTACGCATGTGAAGAATGCTAAGTTACACGAATTCAGTGCAAGAACAGCTTGTGAACTTCAAACAAAACAAAAAGTTTTCCGGAAGACAGAGAGTCACACCTATAGATATGTGAATTTCCACAGTGCCATGAGTATCCCCGGCCTTCCTCATATAACTACTGGCCGCAACACTGCAAGCACAAATGTTATGGACATTTTAAAGAAAGCAGGAGAAAGCAAAGGTTGAAAAGCCAACACCCGTAGAGGCCAAAAATCCATTTTTGTCTATTCACGTACTTTTACAGTAACCCAAATAATTACACTTACCTTTTTTATCGCTCATTGTTTGTACGGTAATCAACCTCTCATTTTCTTTGTACTGCTTTTTTAGCCCATCCCAAATAGTAATTGCTTAACTAATTCAAACACACCAAAAACTTTTCACTTTTTACAAATTCACCTTCTCTCCCTCAAGGGACAAATTTGTAAGTGTGAATACATTTTACAGCCTCCGTGGCTCCGTCATACTTTATATGTTTCGTTTGATTTTTGCAATGATAGCAAGAAAAGAAGTGATATGTGATCAACTTTTCACTTGATCATTTAAAGATGGGTGACTTGTTTTAGCGAGATTTTAAATAGAAAGTTAGAAACAAGTACTACTCCCTCTTTCTCATTTCATAAGTTTCATTTTCCTTTTTTCAGCTCCACTAACTTGAGACAGGAGTACAAGCCATTGATGTACATCATAGTCCCAGTTTCTAACAGTCATTTTCAAATCAATATTGTGCATTTAAAAAACAATTGGTCAAGGAATCATGTCATTATTTATTATAATTACCTATCGAATGGAAGAGGTTGCCCAGCATCCATAAGCAGAGTATCACCCAGTGATATTCGAAGTTCATTTGGATTGAAAGGAATTCCAGCATAACCAGCAGCACAAGCAATGCGTCCCCAATTTGGATCCCTCCCATAAACAGCAGCCTGAAAAGGGGAATTTAAAGAGTGAAAATCAGTGAATGACATGTGGGAACGGGTTCTAGAAATGCATAATAAACTTCATATCTTTCATGCCTTCGTGAGTGAAGAAGAAGCGACTGAACGTGCAATTTTTGCTGCTTCAGCTTCATCTTTTGCCCCGTCAACCCTTACCTGTGAATCAAATTACATCTTAATCAGGCATTAAATATAGGAAATTTGAAGACAATGATATATGATGTTGTCTGTATGAAACCTTTCCTACCATTATTTTTTTCCCAAAAAATATTTAAAACGGCATCAACCAGGGACCTACAAATATAGCTATGGAACATAAGAAATTTGAGGAGTCCAATGCATAGAAGATATGCCGATACTAACCCGGTTAATATAATATAGAAACACTTGCTTAGCTTCTACATCAGATTAGCTATTTGTGTATTATATTCAAAAATAACTGAAATATAATTTAAGGAAAAGGTGCAAATAAGCCCTCGAACTAACCGAAAAAGTGCAAATCACCCCTTTTATAGGGGGCTCTGTCTAGCTGTCACCATTTGGGGAGGTTCCCGGTGGAATTTTTTGATGAATTGTTTTGAGCATCTTCTTCATTAAGTCTAGTTTACCCATACCAAATTTCAGCTACAAATTCAACCGAGAAAGCAGTTATCTTCAAACATTTATTCAACTGCCTTCCCGATAGCATTTTTAGCTGAAATTTGGTATGGGTAAACTAGACTTAATGAAGAAGATTCTCAAAAAAAAATCATCAAAAAATTCCACCGGTAACCGCCCCAAATGGCAACGGTCTGATAGAGCCTCCTATAAAAGGGGTGATTTGCACTTTTTCTGTTAGTTCGAAGGCTTATTTGCCCCTTTTCCCTATAATTTATAAAAGTTCGCAAAAATACATTTATTTAAGAAAGATAAAGTGAAAAAGAGACAGATGTTTATACTCCGTAATACATAGTATATTTAATCCAGCAAAAAATCTTGTTAGCCAATTTTATTTGTTGCAGGCTTGCAGCTGATGTTAAGGATTAATAATGAGGCATATTTGTTTGGCTTTCAGGGAGCAAATAAAATATTTATGGGTAATGCATTGATTTAGAGAATGAAATAAGAACTTTGTATGGACAGTAAATACAAATTTTATTAGAGAATATTATTGTCTTATGCTTCTAAAATCGTGAAGAGTAATGTCACCTTCATTGATGCTTCACTATTGCCCTAAGGGAGTAAGAGCTACGGAAAGCATGACTCTTTTATAATTAAATTTTGTAATAATTAATATCTCCTAACCTAGATATTTCTCAATTGCCATGTTTTAGATCTATTAATTTCTGTAGTATGGTATATACGCCAAGTAGCTACTGCTAGCTCAGATTCTATTCAAGATTATACCAATGGTTTTAACGTTTTGAATCATCAACTGAGAAATTCTCATCTTTCAGAAGAAAGATTGATTCCTTTTTTCGTGCAAATACCGAATCATAGTTGACTGGTTCATCCGGAAACAGTCTTTGTGCTTTAGTACATGGGTAAGGCTGCGTACACCCGACCCCCCGTTACCCCACCATAGGTAGCCTTTGCTGCAGTGGCCTGTGGGGTAATGATGATGATGATGATGACCGAATCATAGTTGACCTGTCTTTTGGGTCCTAGACTCGTAAAATTTCCAGATGAACACTCTTTCACGAATAAATACACAGATCCCAGGTGAAAGAGCTTCACAACTTCGCTTTTGTATCATTGAAGACCATGTAAGGTTCTAGTGAACCTTGTCATAGAATACCTTCATAAATTTGCTATTACTTGCTGGGCATATTCAGTACTACTAGCATCATTAACAGCTTAGCAGAAAGAGTTCAAACCTCAATCAAACATGTGGCGCCTTCTCCATCCCAAGCTATAGATTTTGCAAGCCCCTGCATTACCTGGAGAATAAACATGTCTGTGATGCATTGTAGTTCAGAGGATTAAAGTAAGGAAAACAGGAGAACTGAAGTTTTGCATAAATGCCATCACATGTAATAGTAGGGGTGTGATTGCCTGGGTAAAAGGGTAACGAAGGTTGGAGGGCCAAAGTTGTGATAAATGTTATGGAAACAAATATCAGCTAATTAAAGTAGACAAAATTGCCACTCACTCCACTTTGTGAAGTTCTACGAAGTATCATTACAGCTGACATAATACTTACTCCGCATGGGACGTGTTCACTGTTCTCTTCACCTGAAAAAATGTGATATCTTATGAACATCTTAAGTTCTGGTCTGAGCTAAGTACTTATGGTCCTGAGTGCTTCTGGTGTGATGTCATCTAATAATCTTAAATATAACATCTGGTCAGGTACTCGGGTTTAATATAAATCTTACAGTCATGGTCCTATTTTATTTGATTTCTTGCCCTGTTTTTTTATCTGATTTCATAAAAATAAGAATCATTAATAAACAAAAAGACTAAAGTGGACAAAACATCACATCGCAAAGATTTTACAACAACATGTTAGCCTTGGAGTGCTACTATCATACTTTGATGTTCACAAATACCTTTGAAAATCCAGCATTGCTCGTCAAAATGGTAGTCTACACCGAAATGTATCACATATGAACCTTCAAGGGAAGAGTGCTTTTTTTCAGAACGAAGGTGCACATATGGTCTATTTCAGTGCAGACCGCCTTTGTGACTAGTGCAACACGGGATTTTCAAAGGTACTTACAAACGGCCAAGATTCATTCTCATATCTCATTTAAAAGCTTCTTGTTACCAGAATCGCACCCTGTGTTTGTGCTTCGTAGATCAGGAAAAGATAAGAGTGAACTAGGAGGTAGTTACACATACAGCATCAAGACACATCTGCAGGTGGTTTGCCTGTGAGCTGTTCAAAGAAGAGATCTTGCTGGCACCTGAAAGCCCACTAGCCAAAGCAATGACAGCATCATTTGTACTGGTGTCCCCATCAACCTGTGAAGCGTATGTATCTCTAAAGTTAAGAATGTTTTATGCAGGTCAAATTGGATCAATGTATGTGTCTCTACAGATTCACAACAATGAAGGCATACTAACCTAGTTTCTCAGAGTTTATTTAGACCGAGGGAAATGGGTGGAAAAGGGGGACCACACCGATTGATGGAGTATATTTCCATGAACCCCTCACCCCACAACGACGTATATCGCAGCATAGAATCCCGAGAGGGGAGTTTCTGCAACATAAGTATGCACAACGCACCCTCGGCCTTTGTAAATGGCTTCACGATTTCAACATACTGGCGGAACACCAGGGCCGACATCATCCTGCTGTGTGCTTAGTCCCGGCCCTCTAGGGCCCATACAAGGCCATGTGTCGGCCTCGCAATGATTTTGAGTGACTTACCACCCAAGCCTTGTAACAGACTAGCAGTGGCACACATCTGAGTCGGATAAGGCATTCTTTCCCCCCTATAAATACCCCTATCCGGGTTGTGGAAGGGGCTGAACTCTTGTTATATCAAGGCATTTATATACTTTACTTTCTCTGTCTAAAAGAGCTTTCACTTCTCCCTAGAGCTGGGGTTTCATAATCCATCACCGATATTGTCTTTTGTATGGTTAGTAGTTCAATGTTTGGATGCCGCCCATCCTTTCTTCCCTCTCAAATGCTATCCCTCCAAATTAAGGTTAAATGGAAGGAAATGAGATGACACTCCCCTACTCCCCTCAAAAATCATAAACTTTTATCAATTACACTTTCTTTGTTCTGAAGAAAGATACTAGTATAGTAAAACTTACAGTAATTTGGTTAAAACTTCGGCTCACAGAAATTTGTACCATTCTTCTCCAAACTTCACTTGAAACCAAGGCATCAGTAGTAATAACCTGGAATATGTGTGCATATGAAATAGCAAGGGTAAAGAATTAGATATTCTCCAAGTTATACAGTTGGTCACCCTTTTTGTAAAATCTAGTCATCATCATTACCCCAGTGCCCCAAGAGGGGATCGGATCTACGCAGTCTTACCTATGTTGTCAAAACCGGACCGGGAGGCGACCCGGAAAAGCACTGGGTCAAGGGTCAACCCGGACCTGGGAATGTCAACCCGGGCAACGATGGGTCAACTCGATCAATGATTATTGAAAACTAGAAAATAGTATGTATATATATATATATATATATATATATATATATATATATATATATATATATATATTAGATTAAAGATTTATGCTGAAAATTCACTCATTTAAAAGTTATTAATGATTATAAGATTAAATTAAAAATTAAGTTCTCACCCTCTAAAATAAAATTCATAAATTTAAGATGTGTTTGGAATTAAATGCATCGCATGTGAAAATAATATTTATATAAAAAATTATAAATATGATTGATAAATATCTAATAGTGTATTAATATAATAATAGCGTGCAATACAAAAATAGTTATTATTATGATTACAAATTAATAATCAATAATTAAAGTCAATTGTGTTGGGCTTAAAATCTCACGGGTGCATGATATAAAAATTGCAAAACGGGTTTCACACAGCGAGTGCTCATGTAGTTCGCCAGGGAACGAATCCCCTTGGCTACAAAATTTTGAGAATAACGGGTTTCAGTCAAATTTGGGGTTTTTCCGGGTATTTACCGGTCCAGGTTCCGTCCGGGTTTTAGCGGCCAGCCGGTTATTTCCGGTTTTATGTGTATTTGCGGGTTTACCTTCAACCGGACTGGTTCCAGAGCCGGGTGGCTGGGTTCCGGGTCGAACAGCCTGGTCCGGTTTGGTTCTCTAAACATAGAGTCTTACCCCTGCACTAAAGCAAGGAGAGACTATTTCCCGATGAACCATAGTGAAAATCACGTTGAAACTTTATCTGGACAATTAAATAGCGTGTAGCCTTGTTTGGATAAAGAGCTGATTTTGAGTGGATCTAAAATTAATCAGCTGATTTGAAATGTTACTAATTGTAGCGTTTCAGTTCAGCCCCAAGATATGAGGGCATACATAAGAGACAAATAGACTTACCCCAAGCATTGTTGCCATGTTAGGATGAATCATCCCGGAACCCTTTGCCATTCCACCAACTCTTATACGCGTCCCTCCCATCTGATCAGGTACTTCGTGTTAGACCATATCACAAATAGACTTACGCCAAGCATTATTATTTATGAGGTAATGATGAGATGAAATACCAAAATCATCATCTCATGTTATTCGCACACACACAGAAAAAAGAGTGAGATGTAGACTATTTGAGATAGTTTTTACAGTCATGGGGATTACCATTTTCATATTAGCATGCACATCATGAAAAATGCTCATTTATCTGGAGTCTGGACTACATTTGAAACATGAAAAATTGTCAGGAATGGAGAAAACTGAAGAAAATAGGTTAATGTTAAAAAATTGTCCTAAATAGGAGTAAAAACGCTTATGAATTCCAAAATAGAAATGTCATGTTTTTATTCCCTAAATAGGAGTAATTACTGTCATGTTTTGGCATTACTAGATTTTAAACATAACAATATTTTTCAAACATGGCAGTAATTACTCCTACTTAAGGAATCAAACCATGATATGCCTATTTTGGAATTTCAAAACGTTTTTACTCCTATTTCGAGAATTTTCCCTTTAATCATTCGTTTCATCTTGAAGAATATGAAGGAAAATCAAATTTGATTAAAGCTTTTAAAAATGTTAGGTGTATAGATTTATTAGTCTGTTACACTAGACATACACAGATAAATGACTTTGAGCAGATATCTGGCTTTAAATGTTAGGGACCTAAATAGAATAATAAGAAATAAGAAGAGTATTAGAATTAGTATAAATAGAGGTGGAGGGTAGAATAGAGAGGTTGGAATTGTTATTTGGGCTTGGGACTTGGAGAGTGGGCACTCTTAAACTGCCTTTGTATTTCTCTCTATACATTTTCTGTTATTTGACAACTTCCATTGTTCCGCACATCTTCCTTATTTCATCTTTTACTTCTTGAAATCACTGTGAATTAGCCAGGTACCTAACATTGGTATCAGAGCGTCAGCTACTCAAGGAACGATGGAAAGCAGACTGGAGATCCTGGAACGCAATTTTGAACGCTATCGCGAGGAAAGGCGGAAAGAGATGGCGGAATGGCGCGAATTGATCCTGCAGCAGAACGCTCGACATGAACGAAGAAAATCAAGAACTTCAAGGCGTCACACTGTACATGAGAGTCCTACATCGTCTGAAGCCAGAGGTAAGTCGCGAACTTCGTCTCCCAGTTCGCAGTCGCGAACCGTTTCTTTGAGTTCGCAGGATTGGTCGCAAATTTCTTCTCGCAGTCCGTCCGCGTCGTCGCAAGCACAAGAGCCCAGTTCGCAGTTGCGATTTGCGAACAGTTCCTTCCAGTTCGCAGATGCGAACAGTTCCTCCCAGTTCGCAGGTTTCTTCGCAGAGTTATTTCCCTCGCTCTTCGCAAAGTTCTTTGCATCCTTCTTCGCAGGGTTTTAATCATCACTCATATCATCGCTCTTCGCATCAGAGTTCACCTTCTTCGTCTAAAGTCGCTTCTCGGAATTCAGCTAGGTCAAAGACAGAGGAATTACCTCTATTCCATGAGGTTGAAGCGTACGCATGGATAGGGAGGATGGAAAGATATTTCCAAGTCCAAGCTATTGCAGAAAGATCTAAAGTGGACATTGCAGCAAAGGCAATGGGGGAAGCTGCAGATGGCTGGTTTCAATGGTGGGATTTTCAAAAGAGAGAAGATAGTTGGGAGGCTTTAAAAGAAGATTTGATTAGGGATTTTCCACCTAGACACCGGCAGAAGACATGGAAGACAGCAAAACTAGAGTCATCGAGGTCTTCACATATCTCTTCGCATCGTTCTTCTCATAGCTCTTCGCATTACCATTCTAAAAAATGGTTGCAAATAGAAAACCCCAACTCGCAATCACCAGATTCTTCACTATCAGGATTGATGAGTTCACAAGTTTCTCAACCTGCGAAAGAATTGCCCCAGTCAATAAATAAAACTGAGATGGAGCCAACGGAATCTGTAATCAAGAAACTGAATAAGAAGGACGAAACCGAGGAGCAAGGACAGATTATCCAATGGCCAGAAAATTCATGCATTGGTAAAAAGAGACCTGGTACAGAGGCTCAGAAGGAAGAGGTTGAGACTGTTCCAGGAGAATCTGCTAATATCTGGGGAAAACACCAACAGATTTATGACACTGATAAGTCTAGCCATACCCTACACCTTGAAATACAAGAAGCAGAATTGCAGCCCTGGGTTGAGAGCATGTTAGACTACTCCAAGCTTGATTTACAAAATCCATTTAAAGCGCTCGAAAGTTATCTAATGTTGAGAGACATCTCAGCAATGACAGCTCATAACCTGTTACTGCCTAAGGTTTATGAATCATTCACAAGGCTTTTACAGAGGATGGCCCCAAAGAGTTACCAACAAACTTTAGCTATTAGGGCCCCTGGTAACATACAGTCTTTGGTTGTTCACATTTTACCTTATGTTAGGGCAATGTTGACTAAACTCCTAACACAGCTTGAAGAATTAATAACTGGTTCTCTAGATCTTCTAACACTATTGCTGAAGCCTTTACCAATGGATGACATCAAAGGATTGATAAAGTTGTGGTAATATTCCAGGGTACTTTAGCAAGGCAATTGGGAAAGAATGATCCACAGATTTGTGCATTTGAAGGATCAGTCTTTACTCACTCCAACGTCAAATCTGGGATGGAAGTTAAGGGCTGCAGTTTGATGGCAAAGGATGAAGCTACTGGATATGATTTCATCATTCTTGATACTGAAGGAAAATGGAATGTCCGAGCCATGATGACTTCTCAAAAGTGTGGTGCAGAAAACCTCTATGAAGTACCTAGATCTGTAGGTATCCAATTCCAGGAGGAGTGGCAGCCAGTTTTTTATGCTATTATTGAGGAACTGCCCGATGAGAATGGTTCTGTAGGGGTTGTAGCACTTGGTGCTGGCAAGATTGTACTGAAGCATCATGAAAACATGCCCTTGCCTCAGCTTCTCACTATGGTAAAAGTGATGGAAATGGTTCAGTTATTGAAGTTCAGGGTCCTGAAATTTGGAAGATATTGGGAAGGACGAGGCGCAAAGATGAGGAAGAAGCGGTTCGTCAGGACTGTCTCCTATGACCCACCTTGAGGACAAGGTGGTTGTCAAAGGGGGAGTAGTGTTAGGGACCTAAATAGAATAATAAGAAATAAGAAGAGTATTAGAATTAGTATAAATAGAGGTGGAGGGTAGAATAGAGAGGAGGTTGGAATTGTTATTTGGGCTTGGGACTTGGAGAGTGGGCACTCTTAAACTGCCTTTGTATTTCTCTCTATACATTTTCTGTTATTTGACAACTTCCATTGTTACGCACATCTTCCTTATTTCATCTTTTACTTCTTGAAATCACTGTGAATTAGCCAGGTACCTAACATTAAATTGTCGATTTTGAGAGAAAAAAACTTTCCTAAAATTTGTTCCTTCCAAATTTCCCCTCTATGGTGCTCCCTATTTTCTTTTACTAGCACTTTCCAGATTCCAAAAGGAACCGGAACCAAAAGATGCATATGAGCAGAAAACACCCTAACAACTTGGCAAACATCTGAGCAGGAACTAAATGAAATTATGAATATAAAGGAAATAATATAAGATTAAATACCTCAGACTCAATTGCCACACTCTTGCTGACAAGATCAGTAGTAGTTATTGCTACAGCGGCTGAATTTGCCCTTAATGAAGAAGAAGAGATGCACATTCAGTACACCAAGAGAAATTGAATCTCCGGTATGAAAAGGACACATCATAAATTAACAATAACAAAATAATGAGGAGAACACAACACAGGGTACGGAAAAACAAAAAAAAAACAAGGAATAAGCAAAGTACCCATCAGCACTTGATGACAGCAGACCAACTAGCTTTGGGAGTGAGCTAAGAAGGGCCTCCTACATATGACATACAGCATACATCAAACTTCTTTTAATCAAACTCAATTTATCAAAGAAGTAAATGTAAGGTTTTCACAATGTCCACTAGCATGCCCCATCCGTCATATAGAGTAGGATGCATTTGATTTTTGGCATGCTTTAAAAAAAATAAAGGTAATGTTGGTCAGTTTACCAGTAAGCCCTTCTGGAGAAGGGAGAAAGAAGGATTGGCACATTGAAATGATAGATGAAAGGGTAAATTTAAAAAAAAAAAAGGTAAGTTTGTTTAAATTAAGATAGTTAGCAACAACATAGTATCATTTTGGGACGTAATGAAAAGGATAGTTGATCCTACATAATTGGACACAGAGATTGGTAAAAACTAATCCATAAAAGATTTAAAAATCACCTTCTTTATTCTTTTACCAATGACCCCAGTGGATTCAATTAACACTTCCTCGTTCTTCAAGTTAAGTAACTGTCAAGTCAAAGATTTCCATTAGATGCCAGAGTTTGTTTTTCAGATGACTTATAAGAACTCTCATTTGTTAAAAAGCGCTTACATTAGCTAAAGCAGTTGAGCAATCAATTACATCCTGGAAACCTGCATCACCCTGCAAACAATTTTTAGAACTCTTAGCTACGGATCACGTATCAACAACAACCCTATATAAAATGTAGGAGGATGAGAAAATTTGTTAAGAATCAGAAGATAGGCACGTATCAGTATATCACTGATGTCACAATAGGGACGCTTAAATCAGACATAAAACAAGTTGGAAAAACAATTACCGTGGCTGCATTAGCTTGACCGGCATTTATTAAAACTGCACGAGCCTGAAAGTACAAACTTGTGTAATGGTGTAAGCATGTTCCACATTATTTTATAAATGAAAATATTGGACAAATTAAGCCAACTCCATTGTATGATATTGTTTATTAATTCATTAAAATGAAAACTTGCGCTTTTTTGCATATTAGTAAAGGAAAATTGGATAGATATCAACAGACACCAAAAGATTAATTTTGTTTCATACTGTCATACATACCCCTCCCTACTTTCAAAATTTTGCAACATACCGTTGGCGATGCATTTAATGCATTTTTGCAATATACTACCGGTGCAGCTGCTACCACATTTGTAGTAAACGCTCCTACATTCCATTGTTTCATGACAAGAAGACATTATCAGATCTTAAAAATTATACTTAAACTTCTCAAGTAAACATATACTAATATGTACCAGTGGAACATAAAGCAATCAACTTTCAATCAGGAAAAAGGGGGAAAAACCATGTCAGCACAACCTGCAGAAATGGCATCTACATCACAAGTGACAAGTGCTAAGTCAGGCTTCTCTCCAAGTGCACGCAATCCACCATACATTCCAGCAGCTTTGAACCCAGCTGCAGCAGTAACACCTCCAGGGATCTAAAAAATTAGGTAATCGGTAATCCGGATTCCATCCAAATTTAAATAGTTACATGATGTTTTATAGGTAACACCCGAATTTAATTGGTTTAATCTCACTTCTGTTTTATATGGCTTGAAAACAATGCTAATGAATTAAAACCAAAATATATAAGGCAAGGATTAAATCCATTCAGCTAGGTTTGACATAACCGAAATGTCTACCTTCACCCACATCTCTTAATGATCACCAAATTACTTGATTTTGTAACCTTGAAAAGAACTCTCTATTTATATATTTCAACAATCATAAAATGAATCACGACAACACAAAGAGATGAGACCTATATGCAGAGTTGCTCACCTGCTGCCATGGCCCTTCAGGAAGGAAAATTGGAGCTGCTGAAATGTAATTGGATGCCTCTTTTGCAACTGAAACAGCAACTGACATGGTCTTTCTGCCCTGGTCCCCCAACCAATATCTCTGCAATTCATAACTTCTCATTTACACTTCCAAACCATTTTCTTCAATAACGTATGAAGAAATAAGAACATGACCCAAATCAAATTACCCAACCATAAATCCACCGCAATAAATAGTGCTATATATGAAATGTACAGAATTTAAAGAAAGGTGTGACCTTTGGAGTACTCAGCTCCAAGAAACTTAGAGAAACAAAGTGGGGAGTGCACGCCAACATTATAAGACGGTTTTTGCTGGAGGCTTAGATGAAGGCAAGGCAAGCTCAGTGAATCTGAAAATACAAAAGGTTAGAAATTGGGTTCCCATATCACCAGTGCCGATCCTACCTAAACTCGAGCCTGAGTCAATCTTCATAAAAAGGCCCCTATACATAGTCTGTTTGAAGAGTGTCATCAAGATTCTCAATTTGTACATTTTCTTCATCCTTATTTGAAGAGTTCTCCTTTTCAGCAGTTAAATTGTGTGAGAATGTACTCTCCCAAGTGGTTCTTTTATTTGAAATCAAGTACTTATTAATATTTCTGGCCTGACTTTGAATTAATGATTCAATACATGATTTCTTTTTCCTCTTAAAACTAGACAAATATTTCGGAGGCATGATGCTAAAAAATAATTAAACACATCATTTACTCGAATCCTTAACAATATACATTGGTAACTTTCTCTACGATATACAAAGCATATAATAATTTCATTAATTATGAGTTGATAATTCCCTAATTGCAAATTGCAGTATTGATAAACCTAAATAAAAAACAAGCAATTAGAATAAAAATCAATTATACATTACAAATTCACATTAGCATTTAGCAAATCAGTATAAAGTTAAGAAATTTCTGAAAATAAAAAACAAATAGTCAAATAAAAAAATTAAGTTATAGAATGATATAAAAAATAAAATATAATCATATAAGCTAAATAGCTATTGAGCTAGAAGTAGAATTGTGGAGAGGATAAAAAAATCAAAAAATTCCTGCAATTCTGCCGTTCTAGAAGGGCCAAATCTAGAGAAGTGAGAGGCAACAGGCGAGTTAAAAGTTCCGTCTGGCGTCCTTAGTTGGTGAGCAATGATCAGAGAAGGCAGAGAGGCAGAGAGCAGCCAGTTCGTCCTCGATCCTTCACAGCCTCACAGCCTTCACGCCCTCACAACTTCACTCCCTCCGTCCTTCCAACCGAAGCACTGCAGCAGATTTCAATTGCTTAGCGATTAGAGGCGTTCATTCCGCTTGGGCAGCTGGGACTTTGCTGTGGGTGTGGACTTCGCTAGTAAATTATTATTTTTTAACCATACAAATTAACGTGATTATTGATATTCTAAATTTTCTAATTACCTATTGCACTTGTTTAATTTGATTAGGAGGGGACCCAAATCAAGTGAACAACCACGTATACTCCAGGGAATTTCAGACGATGCTGGAGGGTTTTGATGAAGAAGGGTGCGAGGAAGAAACGAGGGGTATGATGATGACGGAGAAGAAAAGATGTCCGACTGTGGACCATGTGAAGTTTGGAGAAGAACTTTGAGGTGCAGAAACAGATTGAGCCAGAGAGGAAGGTCAAACTGGCTCATGAGCTCGGCTGGCAGCCTAGGCATGTGGCTGTTTGGTTCTAGAATCGCTATGTACAGTGGAAGACGAAGCAGCAGCCAGCAGGAGAAGAGGAGCATACCTGTAGATGAATAGGGAGCAGCGAAGCAATAAGATGTTCTCGATCTGGAAAAAGGAAGTAAGACGCATTCTATATACTCCCTAAAAAAGAAGGATAAAATTGTCTTTTCGCTAAAATTGTATGGGACGAGAGGAAGTGGCAGGCAAATCAATAAAAAGTGTTTAAAATGTTTGATATTGAATTATAAAGTAAGAATAAAGTAAGAATGATTTAGAGCCACATAAATTTTGCTAAATTTGGTATCGGACAGACCCATAAGGTAAAACGGGACAATCATAGCAGAACGGATGTAGTACCTCCCTCCCTTGAAACTCAACCAAGATTGACAAGTTGGGAGATTTCTAAGCTAAAAAATATGTGATTGAGATTTATGTAAAGGTGAGATAGTTAAGAGCTACGGAGTATTTGTTTAAAAACAAAACTTACATCAGTGTATCAAACACCTTTCACCTTAACATTTTCATCATATTCATCTTCTTTCTTCATTAACTTCCATCTTCACCATGTCATGTTGTGTCGTCTTGTATCTCACCTACTTCATTATCGTTGAAGTTGAAATCGCTGAAAGTGCGTGGGGAAATAACCAGAGTTGAAGTCAACAGAAATGATATAATTTATCTATATCAAACAATCAAAATTGAAAAATTAATCATACTTTGTAAAAAATCACCATAGAAAAAAATGTATGTATTCAGACACTGATTTTCTTTCGGTGTTTGTGCAGACAGACAAAAAAGTTTGCAAAGAAGTAAGAGAAAATTCCCTATCTTATGACTAAAAGAGCATGTCTTTCCCCATCTATGACTACATCAACTTTTATTCTTATTCTGTGAGTCGCATGTCTCTTGCCCATGCACGTGTTTTTATATTTTCATTTTAAACCCACAATTGCCCTCATTCCATTTAATTAATGAGCTTTATTGAATTCCAGGAATCACGTAGCTTCATGTCTCTAAGTTGTAACCGTTATGCATAACTGGCGCATTAACAATGTTAAGGAGTCACGATAGGTTTCAATCACTTAGTTCTCAATATCCTAAAATTAAGGAATCAATTATTAGAAAAATTAATAGAAGGTAAGTCTTTACATAATTGTTGCTGCATATCCCTCACCTATCATTAAACGTTCTCCTTCAACGAACGTTGCTATTCCTTTTTTGCTTAATCCGACTCTACTCCATCAATTCACGGCCATTCTTCGATTGAAGTCATTCATGGATTCCATCCCCGTAAGTTCCCCGGAAATGTGGATCATGATTAAATATGATGGCCAATGGATCTCAAATACTTTGTTCTCTAGTATTCATGTTGCCGGCTTAACTATACCTTCAAACTGTACGTACAATTCTCTATGTTCTCGTGTTTGCGCTGTTATTGGTGACAGTTATGCTGGGAAGAATATGAAAATCTCATACGTTTATGCTTCATGCCCACCTCCCGTGAATGTATGTGATGACGTTAGTCTACTCTTTTATCTACAATTGAAGAGTTTTCAAAAGGACCCGATGCAAATGCCGTTGTGTATTGAATTTGTATGTGATGCTACGACTGGAGAGGAACAAAGCACCACAGTATGTGATGATATCCAGAATTCAAGTGGAATTAACCACCCGAGTAATTCGGAAGAGTGTGGTGACTTTAGTGAACAAGACAATAATTTCAGTCACAATATTGGTATGGACATTGAATTTGACCATATTTCGAGTGCTGAAATTATGAGGTTAAATTCTCAGGTTGATGAAGAGATTCATAATATGCATGTTATCAACCATTCTGAACCCACACACATTGCATTGAATAGCATCTATGGAAGCAAGAAGGAACTTGATTTTCACTTAAAGATGTATGCGATTACCAACTTCTTTCAGTATAGAACGAAGACATCTTGTCCAAAGGTTTTGCATGTTGTGTGTGTTGACCCCGAGTGCAAGTGGGCTGTGCGTGGTGTGCGCATCGACGGAGTGTCATTGTTCCAGGTCAAAAGGTATGCATTCATTTATTTTGAAATTATAATTACGTGCCAAGCGTGTTTGTTACTGCCCTATGTAATAATATTTTAATAAAATTGATTGTGCATTTCCAACGGCATTTAAATTTAATGTCTTATGATTGTCTTGTATTGGTGCACATTTTTGTTGTATTTTAAAAAACGATTTTAGTAAAAATAAATCAGTATTACATTCGTGCATATATTTTTAATGCCGTCTGTGTAACTGATATAATGCCCTGACTTTGGTGTTAATCTCTGGTGGCATGTAAAGGTATGTCGTAATTCTGTTAGCATTGTTTTAATGCCCTTACTAACAAATATTTTAATTCTCTTTGTGCTAATGTTATAATGCCTTGCTTTTTTCAATAGGTTTTGCTTTCGTGTTAACGTATCTCTTAATTAATATTTCTACTGTCATATTCTTTTAATTCCCCATGTGCCATTATAATTTGTGGATATATTTTAATGCCCCATGTGCAATTGTTTTAATGCCCCGTGTTTTGCATTACGTCTTGTTTGCATGTTAAAGAATCTCATTTTACCACTACCCTTTGTGTACTGCTATTCCTTCACTTTAAATGTCCTCTCCTCACTTTAATTTAATACTGTATATTGACAAAATATTTTTTAATTGCTACTGTTTTTTATGGCATCATACAGTTTTTATTTCCTATAACAAATGCATTTATTTTTTTTAATATTATTATTTCAAACAATGTGCATTAATTCATTATCCACTGTACTTCCCAAGAGATACTCCTTTCATTATCCATTTTTTCACAGATTTGACTCTGAGCACACATGCCCCATTGATGTACGTCAATGAAATAGCCGTCAGGCTACGTCCAGGATTATTGTCGAACTTATCAAACAAGAGTACGGTGATGCATCCAATAAGCCATACCCTCCGAAATCAATTATGCTTGATATGCAGACCAAATACGGCATTTACATGTCATACAAAAAAGCATGGATTGCCAAAGAATTGGCAATGGAAATGGCTATGGGATCTGAAAAGGATTCATATGCACGCTTACCATCAATGTGTCATGTGCTTGAAAGAAGTAACCCAGGTTCTATTGTTTCTTATTCGTGCAAGGAAAATGGTGAATTTAATAATTTTTTCATGTGCCTTTCTGCATGGAGGGAAGGTTGGATTCATTGCATTCCGGTTATAATTGTGGATGGGTCTTTTTGAAGTCGTATTATAAGGGTACATTACTCACTGCATGTACACAAGATGCAAACAAACAAATATTTCCATTGGCATTCGATATTTGTAGTGGAGAAAATACCGAAAATTGGTCATGGTTCTTCAGTATGTTGAAGCATTCTCTGATGCATCGGGATGATCTATATATTGTGTCTGATCGCCACGAGGGCATTATTAGTTCCGTGCGTTCTGTATTTTCTCGTGCGCAACATGGTTACTGTGTTTAGCACATATTGGCTAATTTGAAAACAAGATTTCGTGGCACGCAAAAAACTGTGTCATGGAAGTTTTTGCAGGCTGCTCGTGTTGGATCTGTGTACGAGTGTGAAGAGTATCTTCAAATGCTGGACAGTGAGGATCCACGCATTCGTACGTATTTAGAGCGGATGGGCCATGACAAATGGTCTCGTGCTTATGCTAGTCGAAATCGGTACTCAGTTATGATGTCAAACAACGCAGTCATTAAATGCAGTTAATGCCACTGCCCGAGAATACCCAATATGTAAGTTGATAGAGTTTATTATTGCACGAATGCAAAAATGGTTTTGTGAACGGCGAGACTCTTCAGCGTCGAACAATTGTCGTTTATATGCACACTTTGAATCTGAACTAGCTGTTTTAAAAGCTATGGCGGCCGTCATGACAGTATTACCCTCTTCTCTTTGTCTTCATTGCACTACTTTTTTAAAATACATCCCAACGTTATGCATTATTGAATTACTTTTACTGTACTTAATATTTAATTATAGTTTTATATGTTTAATCACACATTGTGCAGGTCAAACCATCATGTGCTTTTGAGTTTGAGGTGTTTGATAAGAGATCCCGTTCTTATGTTGTCAACTTGAAGGAGCAGACTTGCACTTGTCGAGAATTTCAGCTTGATGGGTTTTTATGTGTACATTCTGTTGCAGCTATTCACTCCCGCCCAGGCCTTTCTTGCTACGATTACATTTCAGAATTCTATACTGCACATCATTGGGCATAAACATATCGCGGTATTATTCATCCTATTGGGAGTCCGGATGGTTGGATTGTACCTTCACATGTTAAGCAAATCACTTGCAACCCGCCATCATGTGAATCACGACCTCCTGGAAGGCCGAAGAAAAGAAGAATTCCATCTACAGGAGAACATGTTCGGAGACAAACATGCACTCGTTGCCTCATGGTTGGACACAATAGAAAGACTTGTACAAATCCTATTCCGCTACACATGTGTTAAAAATTGTTTTTATGTGCAGTTTTAATTTTAACATTGTTGCGCATCTAGTCACGTACACTTGTTTGGTTTATTGACGTTACTTTCAGTGTTGTTTAATTTTAAATTTGATTTGCAGTTTCTATTATTGCCATCTGTGTGTTAAAAAAAGTATTTCAATGTCCATCTATACACATTGATGCTTACTACTTCCTTTTGTTTATTATATATTTAATGCCTCAATGATCTGTCCTTGTTTTTTAAGTCATATTACATGATTGAAAAATATACTACCAAACTCCAGAGCTCAAAAAGTGACAACATGTCAATATACATTCTCAATTTCGGGCAGTTTTTATGCCTTAATGTCCTGAAATTATTTTCTATGTCATTTGACATGGTTAAAAACTATCGTACCAAACTCCAAAGGTCAATAACTGACAATATGGCAATATACATACTCAATGCCCCCCATTTTTTAACAACTATAACCACCTGCCCTGACAATATTTCAACATATGTACTCTATACATTGTTTAGTATATATTTAATGCCGCACTGACCTACCCTTTTTTTAGTCATTCTTTCACAATATGTCATTATACATACTCAATGTCCTGCATATTTAATTCCTCAATGTCCTTAAAATAACTTCTAAGTCATTTACATTCTTGAAAATTATCGTACCAAACTCAAGCTCAATAAACAAAACAGGACATACAAAAACCACCATCACATACTA